TTTCATTTTCATAAGTTTCAAATATTAGAAATGTTTCATTTTGATGAAGTCTAATTTCTCTTTTTTTTATGGATCGTGGTTTTGTCAGACCTGTGAAATCTTTGTCTTCCTCGAGGTCTCCCAGAAGTTTTATAGCTTTTGGATTCATATTTTGGTCTGTGACCCAGTCGAGTTAATTTTGGTTATGAGCCAAGATTAATTTTTTCCATATAGATGATCCGACACTATTTTTCTAATTAAAACAAAAACAAAAACAAAAACAAAACTAAAAAACCTGTCCTTTCTTCACCGAATGGCTTTAAAAGAAAACTTAATTTAAAAAATTATCAAGAAGTGATGCTGACATTTTTTTCTGTCGTTGTTAGTTCTGCATGTATAGATATATGTCACTCCCAAGGTTATTAGGGCACAGAACAGCTCCACCTCCCACAAAACTCTCCTATGCCCACGTGTTCCCCACATGACCCCTGTGACCCCAACCCGCTCTCCATTGCTACAGCTGTGTCTTTGAGAAGCCATGCAAATGCAGCCCGACAGAAGTGGCCTTCAGAGGTTAGTCTTGGTTGCTACAGCTTGAGTAAGCCTTGAAATTGGATAATGCCGCTCGTCTAACTTTATTCTTCTTATCGTTTGTTTCGCTATTCTAGTTCCTTTACGCTTCACGTAACTTTTAGAATCAGCTGGTTGATATCTACAGGGAATTTCCACTGACATTGTGTTTAATTTACAGATCGATTTGAGAAGAGGTAACGTCTTAACAATACTGCATCTTCCAATGTTTTGTAGATCTTGAATACATTTTGTTGGAGTTATACCAATGCAGCTCACATTTTTGGTGCTACTATAAATGTACTGTTTTTTAAATTCAAATTTCCAATAATTTATTCCTAGTCCATAAAAATAAACTTAGCATTTGCATATTGACCTTGTGTTATGTAAACTTGCTAAACTCACTTATCGATTCCAGTAGTTTTGCATATTCCTTTGAATTTTCTGCCTGGCACAGGCGGTTCCGTTGCTTCTGTTCCGCCTGTGCCGGTTATGACCTCCAAGGCCACGGAGAATGGGCGCGAGGCGGAGGGCACCCTAGTCTTGTCCCCAGTCCTAGGCGTCACGCGTTCATCTTTTCTGTTCAGTATGTCAGCTGCGGCTTCCTCGCAGACGCCCTTTATCAGTTACGGAAGTTATCTTCTTCCTAAAGGTTTGATTACCGATGGACGTGGGATTTTGTCAAAGGATTTTTGTGTGTCTAGAGGGATTATATGATCTTTCTTTTACTAGTTTAACATAGTGAATTAATTGCATTGATTCATTTTTGAACCAACCATGCATGCCCAGGATGCCACTTGGTCATGAGGGATTATCCTTTTTACATATTATTAGATTCGATCTGGTAATATGTGATTGAGGATATTTGTTTCTATGTTGATAGAGGATATTGGTCTGTCATTTTATTTTCTTGTAATGTCTTTGTCCGGTTGTGTATCAGGCTGATGCTGACCGCATAAAATGACTTAGGCTGCCTGAGCGGGAAGCTGGCAGTATAGGGTCAGCATGCTGAGGGCACCTGAGCCATCCAGACGGCTGTGGCCAGGTACCGAGGGAGGTAGGTGGGCACTCGCACGGTAAACACCCTCTCGTACCTCCTGCCCGCGGTACCCCTGGGGATGTGGGCGCTATCTCTGGCAGTGCTGGACACCTGGCCTCTGGGACCATTTTCAGCCCCACCAACAGACTTGAAGCACAAATGACGCACAGCAGAGGCCCACAGGTCTGGTGCTGCATGAGGAGCCAAATTTATTTCTTAATCAGACAGAGCCTTAAGTGCACACACACAGTACAGGAGCCTAGAACCTCACACTCAGGGTTAGGACGTCAGGGAACTAGTTACGTCAGGATGGCGGTTACGGTGCAGGGGCCAGGGTGTGCCACACAACCACATATGTACAAGCCACAGGGGACCTCAGGGGACAGGCAGCTACAGGAAGCACAGGCCCAGGGAGAAGCCACAGCCTGCTGTTCGGAGGACCAGTGGGGCAACCTGGCTCACTCACGCCTGTAACATCAGCGACATTTGCGGCCCCTCCGGAGTGTTCAGCTGCCGAGGGGCACCAGGGGCACCAGCCGCCAGGTGCGCTTGTGCCTGTGCCTGTGCCTGTGCGCGTGTGGTCGGGGAAACGCTGGCATCTTATGAGCCGTTGTTCAGAGCAGGGAGCCTTGCAACTCACATCTCAACACAGCCCGGGCACCAGCCAGGTTGCACTGGAGCCCGGCAGCCCCCTCCCGGGGCCACAGGGAGCTCCCCTCCCCTGGAGGGGACAGAGAGCTCGCTCCAGACGAGGATGGCCACCCCTCAAAACGAGGCTGCAGCCTGAGCAGCATCAAATATTCAAACAAAACCATCCGCGAGGTGGCCTGCTGGACCTTGCTCCCCTCCCCCACTCACTTAAGACAGCAGCAGCCACGGCCAGACCCGGATCCCGGACCCCCGCCCCCCGCACCTGAGGACCCTCAGCAGCCCCCAGGCCAGCCTTGCTGCCCACAGGTGTGGAAACTGAGTCCGGTTTGTGAAAAGACCTGTCCTGACGTGGCCCGTGGGCAGTTTCAGGTGGGGAGGGCGGGCGAGGAGCCGCCCTGACTCGGGATGGACCTCCTCTCCAGCCACTCTGGGTGTCGAGTCCTGCCCAGGCCCGCCTCCTCCCGGAGCAAGCCTGGAAGGGGGCGTCAGGCGGCCCATACCTGGCTCTTTGGCAGTCCCCTCCGTGGCCGTGGATGCTCCTGGACTTGGGATGGTTCCCAGGAGCCCTCAGGTGGGGCCCGTCCCTCAGCTCTGCCCCACACAGCAGGTGCTCTGCAGGTTGGTTGGCCTCAGACACCTGTGCCCTGGGTGGGAGCACCTAGACCCCTCGGAGGCCACAGCCTCAGGCTGGCTGACCTGAGTGGGCCACGGCCAGAAGCTCAGAAACTGACTCACCTGAGAACGACTCAGCCACCCCCATTTCTCCCCGCCACCCTCACGGCCGTCAACAAAGCCAAAACCACCACCTGTCCCAGATGGTGCTGTCACCTTCTCTCTGCGTCTCTACCCACGACTTTGGGGAACATCGTGGCAGGGAGCACAGGCCCCCCGCTCTCGGACAATGCCCGAGTCCTGTCCAGGCTGCGACCCTCGTCTGGGGCCCCAAAGAAACCCCCACACCCACAAACATGATCCTAGGCCTTGATTCTCGCCGACCAACTTCTCTGTCACCAGCGCCAGGGAGGCCAGCAGGGAGCCGGCGGCCGCCACGCGCTGCGCCCGAGGTGGGTACAGGAAGGCGCAGTGCCAGCCGGCAGGAGCAGACGCCACTGTCACAGGGGCTCAGATGTGTCCCTCGTCTGAGGTGCAGCTTGTGGGGCCCGAACAACCTTCCCAAAGGAACAACTCACAGCAGCACCCTCGCTTGGCTGGGGGCTGGCAGCACACGTCCCCAGAGAAGCTGGGACACGCTGGGCTCGGTGCACGGTATCAGAATGTCCACGTGGCATCGGTGCCATGTGGGGACGGCATGGGGTGAAAGGGAGTCTCAGAGCCATGGACTCCAGGGTGCGCTGCAGTTACCCAGACCAGGTGGGCAGGGCAGCTGTCAGTGGGTGGCGCCTGGCGGGGGCTCGCAAGGGGGTGCAGGGGGAGGTGCCCGGGGAGGCTGGGCGTGACTCTGGGGCCTGGAACGCCCCAACCCTGGAGGAAGTCCGCTCTTGGTGGGCCATGGTGGGGACAGTTCTACAGTTCGGTTGCTGTTTTTCCTTGAGATAAGAGGCCAGATGTGGCTTCGAGTGGGGGGACAGGTCACAGGAGAGCCCTGGGCCCCGAGGCTTCTCCGATGGGTTTAGGGCCTGGGCATGACGCGTGGCCAGACTCATCCTGGGCTGGCTCCCCACATGTCCTGGGCGACCTCGGGCGCGGGGTCTGCCGAGGGGACGAAGTGGACGTTTTAAGGAGGCCAGAACGAGACAGGCAGCACCTTGGGGATGGCGGGGTAGGGCTGAGTGGTGGACGGCCCTCCCCTGACCCCATGCCGCCTTCTTGCCAGCACTCACAGACTCCCTCCCGCTGGGGCCAAGAGGGGGGCTCCGACTTTCTTCCCGGGACTGACCCCGAGCTCACCCCATTGCTCCCGCAGCTGGAGAGGCTGCACCCCAGGCCCCTCACTGCCTGACCGCCAACCGCTAGCACAGCCACCTGCACCCTGCTAGCCTGGACGCAGACCCGACTGCCAGGGTCCCGGCCCAACCCCGCCTGTCTCCCTCACCCCCCGCACGCTCCCAGGCGCCACCCGGCACAGCTGAGCCGCGTCTCAGGCAGCCTCCGTGCAGGTGGCATGCGACCCTCCCTGCAGCTCGGACTTGAGGCATCAGCGTCCCCGACACACACACACACCCCCGGCGAGGGGTGGGCAGGCGGCCGGAGGGGAGCGCTTGCCCAGGCACCTCCTCACCGTGGCCTTGCGGGGTGGCTGCCCACCTGTCTGTCCCTAAGAGGCTTGGGAGAGGCGCATGGGACTAAGCGGGGCCGAGGTCCACCTGAACCCCACGGGTCTGTGTGAAGGCATTAGAAATAAATACTTATAAACAGAACACAGTCTTATCGTTAATTGCTGAGTGGACCGTTTCAACGTCGCTAACTACTGTATGTTAATTATAAGTCTGTCTATGCTTAAAAAAATATTAGAATGGCAGCGACACCCCATGACTCGTGGCCTCTCCCAACTCCCCACAGGGCACGTCTGAGAGAGCGACGACGTGGCCTCTGCTGGGAGCACGATGGGTCGTGCGATGCCGGTCCCCTGGCCAGAGGTGGGGCTCGCTGGACCCAGCGTGGGTGTCCCCAGGAGGAGGGGCCTTGGCTGTCTGGTTTGGGGGGGGTGCTGGGCGGCGATGACACGGTGGGTGGCGAGATAACGGGGCGGGGGGGCAGGGCCGGGCCTGCTGGCTGTGTCCAGGGCTGGGGCGTGTTCAGCTCAGACCCTCATCTGGGCAGACCTCCTTCTGGAGAGCTTGGACCTGCAGGAGGGCCGGGAGACGAGCAGCGGTCAGGTGGGCGGAGGTGGCGGAGGCCCGGAGGGGCGGCCACAGCAGCCTTCCAGGCTGCTTGATGTCCTTGGGCCCTGCTGGCTCCTGTATCACCAGGGACTCAACCTCGGTTTCCTGTCCCTGTGACTGGGCAGGAGCGGCCGCTCTCCCATCAGCCCCCGAGGTGGGAGGGGCCTGGCTACCCCCCACGCAGACGCATTTTCCCTGAGCGAGGGCTGACGCTGGTAGCAACAAAGTTTGAAAATCTCGGGATTCTGTGTGAGCAGCAACGACACAAAAACGGGCGCTCCCGTCCTCAGGAAGGTCCCCCCAGGCCCTCCGTCCCCCCGGCGGAGACTCGGACAGCTGCCCAGGTCCCGACGCGGCCCTACCGTATGGTCCCGGCCAGGAGGGGGTTGAACGCGTACAGCCAGTCGTGCATGTCCTTGTCGCTGTTGGCCTGCAGCAGGATACCCCGGTGCTCCGTGCACACCGCGAACGTGTTGGGCGTCTGCAAGACATCGCGCTGTGAGAGGCGGGAGGGCCAGCGCGCGGCGGCCACGGGCCAGGGAGGGCCCCTCGGGAGAGAGCAGGCACGAAGGCACGGGAAGGCAGGCCGCGGGAGCGGGCGGGGCCGGGCGGGCGGCAGGGACTCCGCGGTGTGCATGGCCCGGCTGTGCCCCCTTCCGCCCGCTCACGGCCGGGGCACCCTGCCTCCTCCTGTGCCGTGGGGACACCTTGCCAGCGCTCTGTCCCTACAGGATGCATTCACCCCTCGTGGCCAAGATTCCTTCCCTAGGACCCTGGCTCAGCCGCAGTACAGATGTGTCCGCTGGGGCCTACTTATCCGGCGTTTCTCGCAAGCCTGAGCCCTCAGCATGGCGGGTATAGGTGGCAAGTTGAGTTTCCACTCCCACCCCCCACCTGGGGAATAAAAAGGCGCCTAGTGAGTACTGCAGGCGCCCGCAGGAGCAGCTCGGGCACCCGGCACAGCCGTCTGGGGCGGCTGCCTGCTCAGACAGGAGCGGAGGTGAAGCCAGAGGACAAGGGGACGGGGGCTGCAGCCCTGGACCACCGCCCTGCTGCAGTGTGAGGATGAGGCCCCGCCCACCACAGGCGTCCCTGGGAGGGGCGGGGCCACTGGCCATCCAAGGGGAGAGGGCAAATGCTTGTCCCACCCACCACCATCGGCTGTCACAGGACCATCAGCCCCATGGGGGACAGAAACCCTGAGACATGAGGTGGGGAGGGGGACAGAGCAGCCGCCCCCAGTGCCTCTGCCCACGAGAGGCAGGACTGGATGGCCTCAGACAAGGGCCCACGGCGGGGGGACGAGGCCCTGGCCGGGGACCCGCCCGCCCCATTTCGCTGGCCGTACCTTGAGCATGGCCTGCTGGTCCTCGCTGTACTCCACCTGGGCAGTGGACAGGTTGAGCACGAACCTCTCCACGGCGTCCTTGTCACTGTTGTACATGTAGGCATAGGGCCGCCGCACCACCACGAAGCGCTTGGCCCAGCCGGCCGTGTGCGGCTCCAGGAAGTGCAGGTACCCCTTCTTGGAGACGATGGGGCTGTGGGGATGGGACACCTGCTCGCTGTGCCCTCCCAGCAGCCAGTGGCACAGGCAGCGGGGCCGCCACAGCACGGGCAGCAGCCGGCCTGCAGGAGGGACGGCCAGGGACGGCCACCTGGTGGAACCCCGCCCGGGAGGCAAGACCAGAGCCAGCCACCCCACCTGATTCCCAGATGTGAACTGGGAAGACGCTGAGAAAGCAGAAGCTGCCCGGCCCCGCCACGCTGTGGCTCGTGACCACAGCCCATCCGTGCGGCATTCCCAGGGCCAAAGGGCCACCAGGGGCCACACTGGTAACCTGCAGCCGCGTCACCACCGCCACCCCCGGGCCTGGACCCTGGGCCCTGGCTTTGACCGCCCCTGCCCCTGCCCCAGATCAGGGCGGTCAGCCCGTCCTGTGGAGATGGCTGCTGGACGGTACTTTTGAAGAAACAGCTCGGGGCGGCGCCCCACGCACCTGACCCGAATTTCCTGGATGTCGGGGACCAGCAGGCGCTGGGGCTCTTTGTCCGCCTCTGCTCCCTGAGCAGGGGACGGCGTCTTCTTGGACTCTGCCTCTGGCGTGGGCTCTGGCTCCGGGCTGGCTGGCCGGGAGCTGGGCTGGGGGATCCTGGGAGAGCAGAGCGAAGGCACTGGAGTCCTGCCTGGTGGCTCCTTGCGGGACCCAGAACCATCGCCACCGGTCCCACATCGGCCAGCATCATGCCCTCGGGACTGCTGGGGGCGCCCCTGGCGGTCTGCCCGCCGCGCCCAGTCGGAGCTCTGGGGCCCAGCTGCCTGATTCCGGACCATGCTGGACGGGTGGGGAGGGTCCCAGCTGTGCAGGACGCGCCCCTCTGGCCCCGTGGCACGTTCCGCCCTCCCCCGCCACCCGTAAAGGTGGCTCCAGCAACTCTCCATCTCCCAAACTGAGCCGACGTTGACACCAAGGTCTCAGGGACATGCCACGGCACATGCCACCCGCCTGGCTTGAGTGACCGGACCTGGGGGCCAGGGAGGCCTGGCTCAGGAGGACGGCTAGAGGGCTGGATGCCATCTTTTTTCCTCTTTTTTTTTAAGAAGAGGATTTGAAAACACTGAGGGGTTTTAAAATCTGACGGATCGGATACACGGGGCTGGCAGTGTGTGTGAGGCCTAGCAGACGTCACACGGCCCTCGTCCATGACAGCAGCTAGTGGTTCCCTGAGTTCTTTTTTGTCACCTTCACCCCCGCGGAGTGCTTTGCAAGCACTGCCCATCTGACCCGTTCCTGGTTTTATTCATGGCCACGTTGTAAATTTACGCTTCAAAACAAAACAGCCTCAGACAGAAGGAAGACACCGTGCTTGGATGGGGGCTGAGGGTGGGCACAGAGCAGACTCCAGGCGCGAGGCACCCCCCCCCAGGCGCCACCCTGGGTGTACATGGCTGTCCCAAGTCACTCGGCCACTTGGGACCCCCTTCTCTGCACTCCGCCTGAGTCACCGGCGGGCTCACGGTGCCGGAAGCATCTCCGAGAGCCTGGAGCTCACTCACCTCAGCTCAGCGGCTCCATACCGCCCCTCCACCAGAGACGGGCAGGTGGAGGAGGGAGTGAGTGTGGCCGCCCCCAGGGGGGACATGGACGGGTCCCGCAGCAGGGTGACAGACATCTCAGAGAGCTGCGGAGGAGAGCGAGCCTGTTGTGGGGGACGGGGACACAGACCATCTCTGGGCCCTCGTGGGGACAGTCCTTCTGAACCTCTGCTGGCATTCTAACTCTCATGAACTCCCACCCCAACTGCAGGCACCCTCTGTCCAGCCTCCCGATGCCCCTGCCCTTCCTCGTGGCCGCAGGGCGAGGACCGCTCTGGGTGGGGTCGGGGATGGTGTGGCCCAGCCGACTGCGGTGTGCGGCTTGAGGGCGGTGGGGACAGGCCCTCCCTGGCGGAGGGCCCGGGTGAGGACCGAGCCGCCGGGTGTGTGGGCCGGGGCCCAACGCGGCGCCCACCTTGCTCTCACTGGCGCTGGTGCAGACGTGGCTATGCACGTACTCTCTGTTGAACGTGTGCGTGAGGAGGCGTAAGCACTGCAGAGAGCAAGCGCGCGGTCAGCACCTCTGGGAGCGGACGGCCCAGGGGCCAGCCCCTCCGCCCCTCCCCCGGGACGCCCCCAGGGCAGGCTGCGGCCTGGGCGGAGGTGGGGTGGGGAGCAGCATGGTCCACAGGGCCAGAGGCCTCAGCAGCAGGGGGTGCCATTTCTGAGTGGCGGAGGTGAGTTCCCACCAATGTGGGCACTCAGGAGAGGGCAAGCCACTGCTCGGGGAGGAGGCTGGAACAGGACCCGGATCCCAGTGAGGGTGGGGTGGGGTGACGGATAGGGGGACTCTAGGGACCACCCCCGTCCCAGTCATAGGACGCTGCAGGGGCCCAGCCGCCCACCTTGACGGCCAGCTCCCGCTGCCTCTCGCTGGGCGCCTCCAGTGGCGAAGGGCGGCCCTCGGCTGAGAGCGGGGAGGAGGCGCTGGACAAGCTGTGGGACTCGGAGTCCTCGCTGGAGGCTGGAGACAGCGCCTCGGGGCCCGGCCGCTGCGTGGTCTCCAGCTTCTCCCGCAGCAGCAGGTAGTGCCTGGTCTTCTCCACCTGCACACGAGAGCCCAGTGCGACCTCACCCGCTGTGCTCACGAGGCGGGGTGGGCGGAGGCTCCACCGAGCACCAGGGCCCCGGCCAGGTCCTGGGAGAGCCCGCCTCTCCCTGGGCCACAGTGTGTGACACGGGACTCGGCCCCCACCCGAGTCCTGCAGCCGCCTTCGTTGAGGCCAACACGCTGCCCTCCCTCCACGGAGGTGCTGGCCTCGTGCCCCAGCGCACACCGGCCATGAGCCGATGGACAGCAGCTTCCAGGAGGGAGGGCCATGGGCTCTGCAGCTCCAGCCTTGAGGAGGGCTCAGATCGTGGGCCTGGGCTTCCCCCCGACACTATCCACGTGCACCCTGCAGCCTGGGTACTTGGCGTCTGCTGCTGGATGCTGGTTGCCCAACCAAAGCGACAAGCGACCCGTGTCCCCCCTCATTCCCCTTCTGTCCACCATCCTGCAGTCAGGTGGAGAGTAAACCTGCTCTAAGCCGATCCTCGTTTTTGGCGAGGGCCACAAAACCGGTGATTGGCCGTGTGAGTGTCATGTGACCCATCCTGGGGTGGCAGGCGTGGCTCACCTCCTGCAGGAGGCTCAGCTTCTCCAGCTCCCACTGGTGGTCCAGGATGAGGCTGTCACTGCGTGGCCGCCAGCCGGCCAGGTTCTCCTCGCCCCTCACGTAGGCCACGGACGTGTCCAGCACCCGCCTGCGGCGCCGCTGCATCCCTGCGCCCGGGACGCCCG